TCTTCTACAATCGAGTTTATTATAATAACGCACACACATAATTGCAAGAAAAAGTTACAAAGCTATAACACATATACTTTCGTAATACTTGAATTTTATACTTTTATCCAAATAGTCAATGATTTTCTACAACATTTCTTTCTGAAGAGGAATCTATAACCATAACCAATTACATCAGAATATTTCAATCTAACGTCAATTTGAAATATATGTGATGTGATAAAGAAATTGCTTAACTTCTGTGAAAGCTAACAAAAGTGTTGTTGTAAAAATCGTTTTGTTCTTTGTCTTATAATATTAATGAAACGAATTGGAAATTATTCAATTAATTCAAACATTTTGTATTTATAAACTTTCCTTATGGTTAAAATTAGAAGTGTGTATATTCAAGTTTTACATTCGTGTTACATGAGAATACCCATTCAAGTTTGTTTAACTTTTGTAAGTTGTCAAATACAAAATTGTCGATTTATAGATTTTAATTGTAAAAACGCTAAAATTCTTATTTTTATCAGTTTTCTTCTAATATTAAAGTTTTTTATAAAATCTTTATAATTAATTTCATAAATTTTAAATGTTGAACAAAAAATATGTTTATATATTCATTCGAGTTATTTATTACTATAAACAGTAGAACAAATTTGTGCCTAAACTCTTACGTCTACGGATATACAAGAAGATTACATTTCGGATTTTTTATTTTATACATAAAATAGTTATATTATTTACTCTAGTTTATATTTTCATTCAAATTTGATTTTAAACAATTCAAATACATTTCTTGTTTCTTTATCATGTCTATAAAATTTGGATACTTTCCTGTATACAGATTCAATAGCAATTAATTAATTTCTGTGAAATTATGGTGATAATGTTTCAATTTCTACTTTATTTTTTAATTTAAACAATAAGTCAATAATAAACGGTAAATTGAAGTAAGAAATTGAATCTATTAAATCTATTATAATTTTGATCGTTTAATTATGAATGCATATTTTTCAAAAATTGAGTTAATTGCAATCGCGCTATAAATTATATTAAATTTCACAGATTCTCTATAAACTTGACGAGTTACTTGTTAACGTATCACAAGTAACCAAATCTTTTTTTCTCATCAACAAATCTAGACTGCTAACAGCACTCTTTGTTTAACTTTTGTTATGTAATCTGTCTTATATATTGCAACCGGTGTTTGGTAAATAGTTTATTAAATATAATTAAAAAAAATGCGTGTATAAAAGAAGGGGGAAAATTGTGTAAGTAAATAACATGTATTATACGTGGAGGCTTGTGTGTACAGGACCCAATACGGCGATCCGTTTTCCGTATAATTTACAATTAACAATTATGGAAGCCAGAGTTCATTAAAAGTAAGCAGCGCTACTCGAGTTACGTCATTAGACGGGAGTGAGGAGAGATAGATAGAATGAGTTAGCGCGCGAGAGAGAGAGAGACAAAGATATAATATATAATATGGGAAAGAGAGATGAAGCAAATACGATAGAATGAGTGAGTGAGTGAGAACGCGCGCATACTGGAGCCCCAAACAACTGAATGTCAGAACAAAACTTCCCTCTGTATTAGCAGGCCATGATAATTACTTCGTTAGTAGAATTCTTGCCAACTACGCGAGACCTATCTTTCCGAGTTTAATTAAATTAAGACGAGGTAAAATGCAAATTGTTGACGGGCTTTCTGATATAAAATCATTACGCAACTCTCGCACCGAAACCCTTCGTCCTCGAACGCCGCACTCGGGGGATGCGGGGGGAGGTAGATGGTGGCAAAAGCCAACGCGGATACCGTTCTTTGCGTCTGCTCTGATCAAAGATACCCAAAACTTCAAACACTTCATCCATCAAAACTCATTTATAAATATAATTTAAAAGCAAAACAAGAAACTTTTAATCATTGGAAAAGTTTAGATGTTTCGAACAGTCCGGATTCATTATAGTCCACAAAATTCGTGCAGTTTATTACATATTAGCAGAACCAATTATCCGCACTATGCGAGGTATTGTTGCATTAATACTGTGTATGTTTTAATTTTATTGCTTAATAATTTTTATTATTTACTTGCTAAGTTCATTGTATTATGTATGTAACTTTTTAGTAGACGATTTAGTAGACAAATGTCCCTTATTTTCAATATTTGGTGTATTACAAACGTATTTAAGTAAATTCATTAATATTGAATAGATCTTTCATTAATTTAAAATGTATGTGATTTGACAAGTAATTCACCCATTATGAGTTACTTAACTTTTGTAACAGCACTGTTAATTTTGAGGTGCTGTTGCTTGATATTTATACTATATTATATTGCAAGTCAATTCACAAATTGAACAGTTTAGTAATTAAAAGTATATTTTTTATTGATTGTGTTAATTAAATCACCTAATTGCTTAACTTTTCGAAGCTGTCAATTTTTTAAAGTAGGTGGTGTCCACAGTTTTAATTACGTCTGATGATATATTATTTTCATTTGTTTTCTTTTAGTGTAAATATTTGGTGTATTACAAACGTATTTAAGTAAATTCATTAATATTGAAAACTTGAAATATGCACAGTTGGGTCTTTCATTAATTTAAAATGTATGTGATGTGACAAGCAAATCACCCATTATGAGTTACTTAACTTTTGTAACAGCACTGTTAATTTTGAGGTGCTGTTGCTTGATATTTATACTATATTATTTATATTGCAAATAAATTCACAAATTGAACAGTTTAGTAATTAAAAGTATATTTTTTATTGATTGCGTTAATTAAATCACCTAATTGCTTAACTTTTGTAAGCTGTCAATTTTTTAAAGTAGGTGGTGTCCGCAGTTTTAATTACGTCTGATTATATATTATTTCCATTTGTTTTCTTTTAGTGTAAATACAGTTTATGTAATTAATTTGATGATGTCGGATGAAACACAACGAATTGTAAATAAATCAATGAATTGAACAGTTTTGTAATTAGCTAGTTTGGATTATAAATTGTATGTAATGAATTACATGAAGTGCGTTTGTTGTTTCGGCTTTTCCCCCTCCAACCCCAATTGTGGGGGTTCGCATGGTGTTTACTGTCATTGGGGGGCGGTGGCGACGACTGCCGTTTGGGGATGGTGGGGTTCGACGATGACGACTGGTGGGGGTCCGTTTCATTGGGGGGTCGGTGAATGGTCGAGAGAGCGATTGACAATGCGTCACCATACATACATTATATAACGCTATATGAAAACAAGCGAGGCAGATTCATTCAACTGTTCAAACAGAGGGCGGCCATTACGGGGCGTCGCGTGCACACGGCCAATCAGATGACGGCCGCCGCCGGCGACACCAACCGGCGCCCACCGCAACCTGCCAAACATAAAACGCACACCCATTTATACCCATAATCTTACAACCATGACCCATGATAACTATGGGCTATGACCAAAACTCTCGTTCACTGCACTCGATGGCTAAATGTTTTGTGCTCCGCAAAGAAGGGACGGCCAGAGGATGATAATCAGTGGTGCGCGCTTCGTCTTCCCTTGCAAAACCCTACTCACTCTCATTCTCTTGTTTCTCCCACTCTTTATGATTTATAATTGTTGGCCCTTTTCTCTAATTCCACTCCCTCATCCACCATAGCCCACAGTCATCTTCTAACTTAGTTACTTATTTATCAACTTAATAAATAAGTGCACAACCGCAAGACAAAATCATCAACAAGATAACAATCTAGCATGTAAACATAATCAAGTGCATGAAGTGAATTACAAATTACAAATCTTAATTAATTTTATTTAACTACATGCATCTTTACTCAACAGCTTAGATAATTACATGAGTTTAATTGAATTATGATTTCTTCATATAAATTTTGTTGCTATTATTCTATAATTACAAAACTTAACTTGAAAATATACTTTTTCAACAAAATATTAATAAAAAAATATTACAGTTCGAATTTGTGTTGTATTTATAGTTGATTCTCTATAGAAAAAGAATACTTTAATTATTAATCGAAATAATAAATTGCTTTACTTAAGTTTAATTTTAGTCGTGAGAGTAAATATCGATAATATTGCAAAATTCTCTTTAAATCTATTTGGATTTCAAGAACTTGATTGTCGCAAGTTCATAAAATACTGTATAAATGTCGTAAGTCGAACTGGTCGTAAATTGAGAATAATTATGATAGTTTAGATAATAAGTTAGAATATTTGATACTGCTTGGATTTCAAATAAAACATCATTATTTAAGTGTACTTGCTGTATTTAGTTTTCAAGAAGTTAATTGTCACAAGTCGAAAATATAAATGTCGTAAATCGAGAAGAATTAAGATAATAAGTTAGAATATTTGATACTACTTGGATTTCAAATAAAACATCATTCTTTAAGTGTACTTGCTTAAGTGCATTCTTTAAGTGAACTTAATTGTCGCAAGTCGATAATATAAATGTCGTAAATTGAGAATAATTAAGATAGTTTAGATAATAAGTTAGAATATTTGGTACTACTTGGATTTCAAATAAAACATCATTCTTTAAGTGTACTTAAGCTGTATTTAGTTTTCAAGAACTTAATTGTCGCAAGTCGATAATATAAATGTCGTAAATCGAGAAGAATTAAGATAGTTTAGATAAGTGCAAGACTTCATTAGATTCTACTTGGATTTCCAAGAATACGTCATTCTTTCAGTGTAATTTCTGTAAATCATCTTTAAGAACTTAATTGTCGCATAATAAAGTTAATATATAATAAAGTTAGTTAATGTAATACTCTATGCGATTCTATTTTGATTGCCAAGAAGACGTCATTCTTTGAGTGATCTTACTGTATTTAGTTCCTAAGAACATAACTATCGTAAGTCGATAAAATTCCGTGAGTAAAACAATGTTTAATTTGATAACTTTGCTTAATTAAGAATTATTGAAAAGTAATAAATTAAAAAATTATTAGATTTGGATCGTATAGATTAAGTGTATGTAATTTGAGTTTAATAACAGAGATGTACTCACTTGTATCCTATCTTCTGGCAGATCGGTTTTCAGACTTAACATTTCTCTTGCATAGACGTCGGGGTAATGGGCATCCTTGAAGGCCTTCTCCAGTTCCTCCAGCTGGTAGCTCGTGAAAATCGTCCTACCACACAACCCACCAAGGGTAGTTTAATATGTTACACACAAGCACCCCCCAACAACAACAACAACAACAACAAAAACCCCATGAAATCACCAACAAATTGAATCAAACAAAAACCAATGAATCTTGTAATCGGAATTGATAGTTACCTATGACGCCGCTTCTTCTTTTTCTTTTTATTGAATCCGCTGAGTCCATCGCTCACCGAAAAGTCTTTGGTATTGTCCAGTTGTCCTGCAAACAACAACAAAAAAAAAAGAAAATGAATTAGAAAGAGGGATTTTGGCAATGATTAAATTAATTTTATTTTCTCTTCTGTCGAATAGCGGGGGTGAGGGTTTCGGGCCCAATTCATTGAAAGTGTGGATTCGCGCGAAGGGGGACTCTCTTAATCGGCCGTCAAGTCGACCCAAGGGACGGGTGGCGGGGTTTATAAGTTGCCCCGAAAAAAAAATACCCCCACGATTATCGGGATTAAATTCGTACATATGTCCGATCGCCGCATAATTGAAAAAGAAAGAGAGAAAAAGGAAGGAAATAAGGAAAGGAAAACAATAGTTTTTTTTTCCCTTATTGGAAACACGATACTCTCAAGAAATAATCGAGCGATTTCGTTTTGCGAAAAATCCAATATAATAGTATAACAACAGCAACAACAACAAGAATGGAAAGAAAGCGAGAGGCGAAATTTAAACTCCAATCGCGGCTCCCTTTTCTTAAATGAAGTCTTTAAGGGGAATAAATGGGATCTTTTTTCCCTTATTTTTCGCTTTTTCTTTTCGGGGGTAGCTTCTTCGCTAACTGTAGGAGGGTTGTTTACATCCGCAAGGGGGATTCCTCTCTTTCTTTCTTTCTTTCACTCACTATATATTCTTCAGCAAATTCAGATATTACACCCTACCCCGAACGTCGCTGAAAAGAAAAATGTCTTCATTATTTTCGCCTTGGTTTTACCGTTTTTTTGGGTTGAAAGGGGACCTACATCCCTCCCTCCATCCACCATTCGAAAGCGGCTTTTGCACGCTTCGCGGCCAAAATTTAATCCAACTTTTCTTTCACACAAAGAATAATTTAATTACGTTGCCAAACGCACTTCGAAAATATACACGCACACAAATAAGAAAGAACAAAAGAGATTTTCTCCCAATAACTTATTCGAAACAACAAGAAACTGAATCTCGTGTTGTTTTTATTTTTAAGTAAGTAATTCATCTAACAACGTTATTAGTAGAGTTTTCCAAGAATCCAAGAGAAATGTCTATTTTTCAAAGTCTGGTATTAAATTGTATAAATATCAGTTACATTTCAACGTATTAATCAAAGTAGATTTCATTTTCTTATTAAATAATATAAGTTTTCTTGTTTTAATTAAGAACATTTACAGATTTAAGAGGATTTATCACAATACCATATTAAATTAAGTACAGTGAAACCTCGCTTAACGATGAGAAGAGAAGTCCCGGATTGTGCTCTTGCTACATCATTTTCAAAACTAATGTACACATTTTTTGTGTATTTTTGAATATATTCAACCATATACTGAAAGATCTAATATAAAAAATCCTCAAAACTGAACATTTGAATAGATTAATAGAAGAAAACTTGATTAAATTTTGAAATAACATCAATTTCTTTTGTTAAACAATTGATTTGGTATAAAGTTCTTTGCATTAAACTTAACTTATTGCAATTTTCTCAATAGGACTAAAATATAATTTATAAATTTACTATAAGAAAATCGAATAAATTAATAAGATCAGAATATTTTCAAAGTAGTAATTACTTAATACAATTAATTAAATTACTGAATTTCAAAATATTAACAATACTAAACATTAGTGACTTCTAGCTCACATATACGCCACCTCTTAACAATTACCATACTCTGTATTGCATATTTACACAAATAAAAGTCTTTTAAATCGAAAAACAGTAGTGAATAGCGAAATATTAGCATTTCAAGAGATTAAGTTTATAGGATTTTCAATTTGAATTGTAACTGAAACTTAAATAAACTGAAAAATCTACTTAAAAAAACCAAATGTTTGTCTTAAACTAAGAAATAGAAGTTTCATATAACATTTTAAAAACCTTTTGTGTATAATTGTGTATTTAAAAATTAACAAAGATATCATAAAATTAATGATTTCTTCATACATATTGATAATAATAACTTCATTCAAGCAACAATATTCATTTTATTCCAAATTGATTAATGTCTAAACTCTATGAAATCCATTTAAAAAAAAACTAAGATAAATAAATCTAACTTCTAAAGGTTAAAATCACATTTTATGTTTGCTTTTAGTAAAAGGTTTTCTTCTAACAATTAAATATTTACAATTTTTTAAATAAATTGATAAAAACATGTAATTAACTGTTCTAATTACATTAGTTATAAATTACTCTTAATTAAACATGTTTTACTTTCGTTTTTTTGTGTTATGTAAACTTTTATTTCTAATAATATTGGTATTTTGCATCTAGTTTGAATTAAACTTATTATTTTCATTCGATTTACATAAAATTGCTATGATAAAAATAATTACATTTTCTAAATAATTAAATATTCAAGTCTAGTCTAACAAAGTTAATACAGACTTAACAATTGTAATTAATTATAATGTTAATTAGTTATAATCCACGTAGATATTACAATAGATGTTTTGCATCTAGTTTTTATCAAAAAAATTGTGTTTTTCATTCAACAATAATTACATTTTCTTAATAATTTCATATTGAAGTCTAATGAAATAAATTTAAATATTTTTTTGCAACTGATTTTGATGAAACTTATTATTTTCATTCGATTTACATAAAATTGATATGACTAAAATAATTACATTTTCTAAATAATTAAATATTCAAGTCTACTCTAACAAAGTTAATACAGACTTAACAGTTGTAATTAATTATAATGTTAATTAGTTATAATCCAAGTAGATATTACAATTGATGTTTTGCATCTAGTTTTTATCAAAAATTTGTGTTTTTCATTCAACAATAATTACATTTTCTTAATAATTTGATATTGAAGTCTAATGAAATAAATTTAAATAATTTTTTGCATTTGATTTTGATGAAACTTATTATTTTCATTCGATTTACATAAAATTGCTATGATTAAAATAATTACATTTTCTAAATAATTAAATATTCAAGTCTACTCTAACAAAGTTAATACAGACTTATCAATTGTAATTAATTGTAATGTTAATTAGTTATAATCCATGAAGATATTACAATAGATGTTTTGCATCTAGTTTTTATCAAAAATTTGTGTTTTTCATTCAACAATAATTACATTTTCTTAATAATTTGATATTGAAGTCTAATGAAATAAATTCAAATATTTTTTTGCATCTGATTTTGATGAAACTTATTATTTTCATTCGATTTACATAAAATTGCTATGATTAAAATAATTACATTTTCTAAATAATTACTTATTCAAGTCTACTCTAACAAAGTTAATATAAACTTAACAATTGTAATTAATTGTAATGTTAATTAGTCATAATCCATGTAGATATTACAATAGATGTTTTGCATCTAGTTTTTATCAAAAATTTGTGTTTTTCATTCAAAAATAATTACATTTTCTTAATAATTTCATATTGTAGTGTAATGAAATAAATTCAAATAATTTTTTGCATCTGATTTTGATGAAATTTATTATTTTCATTCAATTTACATTATAAAATTGCTATGATTAAAATAATTACATTTTCTAAATAATTAAGTATTCAAGTCTACTCTAACAAAGTTAATACAAACTTAACAATTGTAATTAATTATAATGTTAATTAGTTATAATCCATGTAGATATTACAATACATGTTTTACATTTAGTTTTTATCAAAAAAAATGTGTTTTTCATTCAACAATAATCACATTTTCTTAATAATTAAAGTCTACTGAAATAAAGTTAATACAATTGTAATGTTAATTAGTTACAATTCATGAATATATTAAAGATGTTTTTATTTGTGTTATGTAAACGTTATTTTTCTTCTAGTTTTAATCAAATTTGTGTTTTTCATTTGATTAACATAAAATTACAATTACATTTTCTTAATAATTTGATATTAAAGTGTACTGAAGTAAATTTGATATAGACTTTTATTGTTCTTATATGTATATTTTCAATCATGTGGTTTTGATTAAATTTGTTATGGTAAAATATATAGCAAGCTGTGGAAGAAGTAAATCAATGTTGAGGAGGGATGCACGCACCACGTATTTTGCAAATGATTAAGTAATGTTTATGCAATACGAGGCGAAATATATGATCGCATTCGTATGTGTTAGCGTCTACCACATATGTATATATGTATACTATATGCATGTGTTTTTGGTGTGGGGGAGTGGAAAGTCCCTGTTTCGAGCGCGCACTGTGTAATGCCCGTAATGCGGCCATAACATCCAATCAGTGTGGATTTATGAGAACAGAGCCTTGTAAATTTAGCCACGGGTGGTCCGCAAATCCAATTGTGTCAACATATAGTAGATTAAGTCGATTGATATTTGGGACCATTCCAGAGATTTAGTATATCGCACACGCAGTCAGTCAGTCAGACCCGAAACCCCCCTTACCCCATCATCATATAATATGATAATGTATGTGGTTTGTTAGACCCATCCATAATCGATATGTTTGTTGGAATCCAATCCAACCAACCAACAAAAAAACAATAGAGAAAGATAAAACGAATATACGACGTCAATTTGAGACGTTTCTGAAAGGGCGTTGCTACTGATTCCTTCATTTTCTCTACAGAATGTCCTTTGTTTTGCAATTTTATTCAATCGTTAAGATTGAAGTAGGCCATAATTTTACTGAAAATACATTAATAAATCTACATATTAGTTTAAGCAGAAATAACTTATATTATTACCTAATCAAATTATTTTTGAAGAATTAGTTATTTTCTTCTTAATATTACTAATTAAATATATATCATTAGATCTAAAAGTTTGTTGATTGGATTTTATATAAGATTATACAATTACTTCAATTTAAATTAATTGTGATAATCAGTTTGAAAATATCTTCCAACAAATACTTATATATTACTTCATTACATTAACTAAGATTTATCATATAAATATTAACGTTAAATGCAGAAAATTAATATAAAATAAGAGTTTGTATCATGATTTTGTTGAAATTTATTGTGATAATTTAAACTCTTACTTATTGCAATCATATTATTAATTAAACTTCTTTAATT